TTTATGCGAAAGCATTTTCAGTGCATCCATATAAAATTCAGTTATTTGTTTGATTGATTTAATTGTTTTTTTAGTTTTAGTTTTATGTTATTTATTAAATTATTGTTGTTATTATTATTAGTAGTAGTATTAGTATTACAAAGAATAATATGGAACAGGAGAACTATCTATATAAATGCATTTCAATAACTCTTGTTTGTACACATTACATTTAGTGTGTACAATCATGAGTTAATATATTATCATAATGTAACAGAAAGCAGTCATACAGTCACTACAACTGCAACTTAACTATATATATTTTTTAATTATGTACATTACTGACAATGACTCAATGTGTATTGTGTACATTTTTGGCTCATCAAATTCATCTCTAAAAACATCCCTAATAACTAAGCAGTACAGTATGTCAGTATCACTGTTTACCAATACAGACATGGGATATATGTACAGATGACTCTACTCAACAAATCATATAAAACTGAAGAGTGGCTGTTTTTGGTACATAAGACCACACAAACATCACAGATGGAGCTCAGAATAGGAGAATGATGCAGGACGTGGGCTCTTTAAAGGACATGCTGCTCTTAAGATGTTCTTGTACCAAATGTTTCAGTAGTGTCTGTTTCAGTAGTGTCTGTTTCAGTAGTGACTGTTTCAGTAGTGTCTGTGTCAGTAGTGACTGTTTCAGTAGTGCCTGTTTCAGTAGTGTCTGTTTCAGTAGTGCCTGTTTCAGTAGTGACTGATTCAGTAGTGTCTGTGTCAGTAGTGTCTGTTTCAGTAGTGACTGTGTCAGTAGTGACTGTTTCAGTAGTGACTGTTTCAGTAGTGTCTGTGTCAGTAGTGACTGTTTCAGTAGTGTCTGTGTCAGTAGTGACTGTTTCAGTAGTGACTGATTCAGTAGTGTCTGTTTCAGTAGTGTCTGTGTCAGTAGTGTCTGTGTCAGTAGTGACTGTTTCAGTAGTGACTGTTTCAGTAGTGTCTGTGTCAGTAGTGACTGTTTCAGTAGTGACTGTTTCAGTAGTGTCTGTTTCAGTAGTGACTGATTCAGCAGCGTCTGTTTCAGTAGTGTCTGTTTCAGTAGTGTCTTTCAGTAGTGACTGTTTCAGTAGTGTCTGTTTCAGTAGTGACTGTTTCAGTAGTGTCTGTTTCAGTAGTGTCTGTTTCAGTAGTGACTGTTTCAGTAGTGTCTGTTTCAGTAGTGACTGTTTCAGTGATGATTTTAGCTCATTCTGAGCTCAGAAACTCAGCAGTTCAGACCAGCAAACACAGCTCTGAACAGCTGTTCACACAGAAAATCATCATATTTTACATTAAAACACTAAAAAGTGCTGAACTGCAGAAATTATGGCGATTCTTAATGTTCCACACTGATTTTCAGACTTTGGGACACATTTACTTCAAAACAGTGGGATCTACCTGCTCACCATGTGGCCATGAGGGACAGGGATGCAGCCTCACTTCCTGCTCTGGAATGCAGGGGTGTGGCTAAAAGAAGGCTCCACCCACAGACTAAAACTCTGTGTTTTGGTAGTGACAGCATTTTTTTAAAGCTTTTGAGTTTTTTTGACATCTTTTAAAATCACACATTATTTAAAAAATAATACAAAGAAATGTAAGTATTATTTTCAGAAGTGTAAATTTAGGGGTGAGGGTTTGGGACAGACTCCTCCCAATAGATAGAACCCTATAAATGATAATTTTGTATAAATTTAGCTTATTAATATCTCTCTATAAACTCAAGGCATTAATCAGAACATTCTAGATCAGAACATAATCCTTATAAATATCTAAGATCTGAATACTTTATTGATTTTAAATATAATGAATTTACCTTTTTTTTACTATGGACCTCAGTTTGAACTAATTCAGTAGAACGGTTTATGTTTATACATACATACAGGTTTGATGAGTTCACCTCCAATCCTGAGTGAACCAGCTTATCCAGATCATCAGTTCACTGAAGGAGCTGGATTAAGTGTGTTGGAGCTGAACTCTGCAGGAAGGAGGATCTTCAGGATCAGCCTGGATATCACTGATGTAAGAGGTTCTCCAGTCACCTCCTGTCTGGATGGTTTTGGTGTCCTAGAGTGTCATCTAGTGTTTGGCAGTGGAAGTGTCCCATATTTATTATTTATTATTATTATATTTATAATGAAGATACTGGAACACAAATTCATTTCTAAAGGTATCAGACAGTGAAGCGCATCAGACAGGATTCTGGATATTTTCATACATTTTCAGACGGATTTGATAAACACATTTACACACATTTACTTTTTGTCTGTGTTTAATATTTTCCCAAAAATTTTAAAATAAATGTATTTTAAAATATATTTGGTCAATATGGCAAAATATTTCGAAATACATTTTAGTGTTTGGAATGTACAAAATGTCCATATATTTTTTCCATATGGGGTCTCTGAAATATAATCTAAATCTGAAGGTTTAGATCAGAGGTGTCCAACTCCGGTCCAGGAGGGCTGGTGTCCATTACAGTTTGGTGGTTCTCCAACTCAAACACACTAAACCTGCAGGTCACAGATGAGTTAATTCGGGTCTGTTTGAGCAGGAAAATCAAACTGTGCTGGACAACAGGCCTCCAGTGTCCGGCTGCACCAGTTGGGTTGTTTACAAAGTTCAGGTTTGAGCATTACTAAATCAGAACGAGTTGCTCTTTACTGACCAAAACACCACTCAACTCCACTGAAATAACACCACTGACTATAACACCACTGACTGTAACACCACTGACCATAACACCACTGACTGTAACACCACTGACTATAACACCACTGACTGTAACACCACTGACTGTAACACCACTGACCGTAACACCACTGACCGTAACACCACTGACTGTAACACCACTGACTATAACACCACTGACTGTAACACCACTGACTGTAACACCACTGACTCTAACATCACTGACTCTAACACTGCTGACCATAACACCACTGACTGTAACACTGCTGACTATAACACCACTGACTGTAACACCACTGACTATAACACCACTGACTTTAACATCACTGACTCTAACACTGCTGACCATAACACCACTGACTGTAACACTGCTGACTATAACACCACTGACTGTAACACCACTGACTATAACATCACTGACTGTAACACCACTGACTGTAACATCACTGACTCTAACACCACTGACTATAACACCACTGACTATAACACCGCTGACCATATCATCACTGACTGTAACATCACTGACTGTAACATCACTGACTCTAACACCACTGACCATAACACCACTGACTATAACACCCCTGACTATAACACCACTGACTGTAACACCACTGACTATAACATCACTGACTGTAACACCACTGACTGTAACATCACTGACTCTAACACCACTGACCATAACACCACTGACTATAACACCACTGACCATAACATCACTGACTGTAACATCACTGACTGTAACATCACTGACTCTAACACTGCTGACCATAACACCACTGACTGTAACACTGCTCACTATAACACCACTGACTGTAACACCACTGAATATAACATCACTGACTGTAACACCACTGACCATAACATCACTGACTGTAACACCACTGACTCTAACATCACTGACTCTAACGCCACTGACTATAATACCACTGACTATAACACCACTGACCATAACATCACTGACTGTAACATCACTGACTCTAACACCACTGACCATAACACCACTGACTGTAACACCACTGACTGTAACATCACTGACTGTAACACCACTGACTATAACACAACTGACTGTAACACCGCTGACCATAACACCACTGACCATAACACCACTGACTATAACACCACTGACTGTAACATGCCTGACCACTACACCACTGACCATTACACCACTGACTGTTACGCCACCACCACAAATAAAATCTGAGCTTTTCTAAAATACAGTCAACTGACGCTTTAGTTTCAAACTTACAATGTATGTAGAACATTTCAAATATTGCCTTCGCATTATTTTACTACACTTGTTTCATGAGTTACACCACTGACAATCTTTTTTTGCGACATCAGTATTTTAGATTTCACCAACTGTGGACTTACTATAACTAAACTATACTAACAGAAAAGACTGTCCTGTTTTATTTAACAACATTTTATGATTGTGTAACACCACTCACAGCTGGACATGATTTACCAAAATTATATTTATATTCAAAATGATTTTAGACAATAATTTTAATGCATGTTTACAATGTAAGCTGAAAAACAATAAGACCCCACTGTCTTCATTTTTATAATAACACTCCGTTTTTCATGCACATGAACAAAATCACTGAAAAACAAATTGAAACAGGAGAACCATCAAAGTTTTTATTTGGTAATTTAAGTTGTGGTTTATTCTTATTTTGAGCTCATTTTCATGGGACGCTGTAAAAATCTCATAAACATAAAGGAAGCATTTCTCCAACTGTCCACACGGTGTCACTGTGCTCACTGAGTTCTGACAGGCGCTTCAACGTTAACAGCTTTAACAGTATTTCAGAGTAAAGGTGAGAGGTTACCTGAGCGCAGGGATTTAATGTGTCCGCAAACAGAACATCGCAAACAGCACTGTGAGCAAAGCGAACAGTGACACTACACTTTATCAGCCTCATGAGAAGCTTCCTCATTAAACAGGGATGAACCTGATTCTCCTGCAGCTCCAGCTTTGATTTATGATTTATCAAGTTTTATGAAGCTCACGCTGTTTATTGTTCCTCTCAGCGCCGTCAAACGAGGCACAAGAAACCTGAGAGTGGCCTGACCTCACCTGAAGGTCCGTCATTTGCATAAGATCTCGTTAAGTCTAAATTGTTTGGGAGTCTTAAGCCAAATCTCGGGGCTGTTTTGTGTGTTGTGGCTGTAGAAAAATGATAAGTTCGAGTCTGCTGTGCAGTAATGGAGCTTTATGGGCTTCGTTACCGAGTAAACCTGCTGCTCCTCCTCCTTTCAAACCTGATGATGTCATGACACGTCTAATCAGTCCTTTGACAGAGAGAGAGAGAGAGAGAGAGAGAGTTACTAAACACAGACTAAAGCCACTTGTTGATGTTTTGTCTGAGAATAAAAGGCAGAATGTTGACTGTAGAAGCCGGACAGCAGAATGAGAGAACGTCCAGAAACAGCCCGAAACGTCTGTCCCACTCCATTGAAGACATCCTGAGAAGACCTTCCTGTTTATCGGAGAGCAGAAGGCAGGAGAACGTACAGGTGTGCGCTGAGATACCTGACGAGAAGAGAGAGCTGAACTCCAGACCAAACACAGGTGACTCTACCTGAACAACCACTGCACCTTCTTCTCCTACAGCTCCGGCAGATTTCCTGCTCTCTCCTCTTTCTCCACTTCCTCGACTCTTAAAGTCAGCAAATACTTAATTACTCAATAAAAACAATCAAATCGATCAAAATTCATCTTCTCAACGAAGCAGCAGTGATTAGGCAGTTTTCATGATGATGACGCACTGAAAAAAAATTCGATCTTAGCAAGTGAAATCATCTTAAATGTAGTTAATGTATCTAATGTTACTCATCATGAGTCTGTTGTAAGAATATTATGAGATTATTCCACCTGTTTCTACACATTTTTACTTGTTTTATATTATTTTGTCAGTGGCAGATCATTTTACTTGTTTAAATAAACAAAATTGTCTTCATTATTTCTCAAAACAAGAAATGATCTGCCGATTTTACTACATACAATGACTTAAAACAAGTAAAAATGTGTAGAAACAGGTGGAATAATCTTATAATATTCTTATCACAGTCTTATAAAGAGAAATATTAGACATATTTACTACATTTAAGATGTTTTACCTGCAGAGAAATTTTTTACAGTGTGCCTATCGTTGCTGTTAGAACAATCTCCACTTTGGTCGTTATTTATTTATGTATTTATTTATGTACATGACTGAAGATGCCAGCTGGTGTTTCATAATTTCATGACCAACAGAAATGATCCAAAATGCGTCATAACAAAATCCTGCTACATTAACTTACGTTGAAAGTTTATTTATTTACCAATTAAGTTTGTTTATTATTATCATTCATCTCTCCTGTAGAGTTACTTTTTGGTGTATAGTTTTGTTCAGACTGTGCAGATGATTTAAAAGTCTTATTAAGTCTAGGGCTCATTACTCAGTAAGTACAGGGACTTCAGTGTAAACTGGTTGAGCTATTCTTAGCTTATAGAAGTGTGTAGTAAAACTGTGGGCCGGCCGGTGGACCCTGACCATTTAAGGGGTTAAACTCCCCAACTGATCTCTCTTACAGCAGGAAGCAGAGCCTGATAGACACACATTTAGATTATATCCATTCACGTCTTAATATTTACCAACATCTTTTATGTTTTTAAAGTATGTTGAAACCTCTTTCAAGCTATGAATAGTTTGTTATTGTTCAATTAAACTAATTGTTTACATAAAAGTCTTATTTACGTTTTCCTCCTCACACTGAACACAGCTGAGCGTCCAAGATGTGTTTGGTGTCTGAAGTTTTAGCACCGGAGCTACGAGGCTAATGTAGCTAACACGTAATGGACGTCTAGGTCAACAAAGTCTTTTAGGCTTCTATTAAATTAGCCTCGTAGCTTCAGACTCCAAACACGTCCTGGACAGTCAGCTGTCTGGGGTAAGAAAGTTGTGTACAATTTGTCAGTGAACTTTGACTGGTCAATACTAACCTCCTCATGGTGTTTGAAAAGTTTGGTCCTATAAAAACACTGATTCCTCGATCAATCACTAAAATAATCAGTAGACGACTCGATTGCTAGTATAATAGGTGATGTCAGGCTAACGTGTCCTGTCTCGAGTGTCCGGGTTCATTTAAGCTCCAGTGCGGAGTGTGTGCAGCGCTACACGACTGTAAATACAACACACACCAAACACTGCATCGAGCTTACAGTGCTTACTGCCTCAGACTGACTGATTATTAAAGCACCCTGAATTCATTTAATCCACAAAAAAGAATCTATATGTTTAATAACATATTGTTAAATATTTTTATATCTTGAATGTATCTACTATTTCTCATTATGAGATTGTTGTACGAATATATGGGAGTTGTTTTATTTTGTTTACTTGAGTAATTTTAAGTCATTTTATCTTATGAAAGAATCTTATTTTTCCAACAAGAAATGTTTGGAAAAATAATGAAGATAATTTCCACTTGTTAAATTAAGTTAATGTAAAAATGTGTAGAAACAGGTGGAATAATCTTATAACATTCTTATAACAGTCTCAGAATGAGAAATATTAGACATATTAACTGTATTTAAGATGTTCTCACTCACTGAGAAACCACATTTTTGAGGTTTAATTGACTTTAGCTGTGAGTGTGTTTCCTCACAGACAGCTCCACAGATGAACTGACTGCTGTATTAAAGTGTTTGTGTGTGTTTTCCTGTGCAGTGTGTCGGCCTGGTCACAGACGGGTTCGCACTACGTTCACGGTGGCCCAGCTGGAGGAGCTGGAGCGCGTTTTTCAGGACACTCATTACCCAGATGTCCACACCAGAGACCAGCTCGCCACACGGACCCAGCTGTCTGAGGGAAAAGTGCAAGTAAGTCCAGACTTCAGTAGCTAACAGCGCTCACTGCTGCGCTGCTGTCTGTGGAATGTAGACAGTGCAGGTGCTTCTGAGTTAGAATCAGTGACGCAAACCAAAGCACAACACTACTGATATCTGACAGTGTCTTCTTCATCTTCTTCTTCTTCATTTCATCTTCATCTTCATCTTCTTATTATTATTAATTCAGTGTTGTTCTGACCCGCACTCATCTGTTTGTCATTCCTCCCATTTACTCCTATTCATTTTCAACAACACCTCGCAACCACTTGGAAACCCCCTAACAACCACTCAATAAACACACCGTACACCATGACAGCCACCTAACAACACCTTAACAAGCACCTGAGTAACCATAGCAACCGTCTAGCAATACCTTAACTAGGGACACTATAGCAACCATCTAGCAACACAATAGCAACCACCTGAGATACCACAGCAACCTCCCAGCAACAGCTTCACAGCCAGCAGGAATACAATAGCAACCATCTAGCAACACCCTAGCAACCCCTAAGATACAATAGCAACCACCTAGCAACACCATAGCAATCATGTAAAATACCATAGCAACCACCTAGCAACACCTTGGCAACCTCATGGGATACCACAGCAACAACCTATCAACACCTTAGCAACCTCCTGGGATACCTTAGTAACTGCCTAGCAACATCCTAGCAACCATCTGGGATACCCTAGCAACCGACTAGCAACACGTTAGCAACCACCTGACATACCATAGCAACCACCTACAACACCACTGCAACCATGTAAAATACCATAGCAACTGCCTGGCACCACCCTAGCAACCATTCACAAACACTTAAGCTTCACATTTGTTTCAGGAAAAGCACTTTTCTTGTTTTAATTGGATTATTAGACATGAAAGGCGAGTTGCTTCTACACAGAGATGGTCTCCAGACAGCAGCCTAGAGCCCCCCTAAACACACAAATCAGATATACTCTACACGCTCGCTGATGTAAATATCCTGTCTCAAAATAAAGATATATACATTGTTACGACCCAGTGGAGGGTCCGGCCATAAGAGAAAATGAGAGTGGTCTCTCTCCAGGCCTGCTGAAGGACCAGACACTGGACTGGACTGCAGGTTTATTTAGACTTCCTTAAAAATGTGCAGTTTGTAAAAGGCCAAGCTGAGTGGGGACTCATGAGTTCAGGGGTGAGCGTAATAATAAACACAGCTAATGAGTTCAAAATAGCTAAAAAAGCAGACTGAAGTGAAGAGCGCCGGGCTGGTCTGGACACGTTCTTCCAGGCCACATCAGAGAGGAGAGAGCCCTGAACGTCTCTCAAGATGGTGGCTTGACCATTTATACAGAAGTGTGCCTCATGTGGCCAATCGCGGACCTGCATTTAATACAACAAGAGGGGAAAAACACACAAAATGGCCACAGACACAGAAATGTTTTATATACAGTATTTCTCTTGTAAATCATTACAGATCAAAGCAGTGAACTGTAAATGGTTTAAATGAACATAAAGTTTATTATGTAATTGTACAAGGTCTCAGTCTGAACCTCCTCCAGCTGTACAGACAACATCAACGCCATAGTCAAACTCATCCCATACTGGATTGAGCGTGTCGGGTGTCGCTGCACTCTCGGCTCTTTCAGTGCGATTTCGGAGATCATCCAGTGTTGTTGAGAGTGGCACATAAACAGAACCCTTAACTTCCCCTACAAAAGAGTCACACGGCGTGAGATCTGATGATGCTGGGGACTTTTTTCTTGGAACTGTTGGTCCCAACAACAACGCTCTGAGCTGTTTTATGTTCACTGCCAGACTGACCGTCAGAAACTCTATGACTCCGTCTTTCAATTGGATTGTGATTGGTTCCTATAGGCGGCTCACGGTTGTAAAATGTGGCGCTTTGAAATCAGATGGATCTTTTTGAAAAAGATTGTAGTGATTGTTTTCAGTAATTTCAGTAAAATTGAAACTAAAAAAGTCTATTACAAGTAACGAAGTACTTCTCTCAAACTGTAGTGATTACGTTACTGATTACTTCCTGGAACCTCTCTTATCTCATTACTTTACTTCTACATTACTCTGTACCAAATTATCTCACTGGCAGATCATTTTACGTGTTTTAAGCATTATTTCTTAAAACAAGCCAATTATACTGAGATACTTTCACTTAATAAAATTACTTCAGTAAAAATACAAGAAATTACTTATAATAAAATAATTTAATATGTTACACTATAAGAAACAATCTTATAGTGTTCTTGTAGTAATCTCAATATGATCAATATTACACATATCAACTGTATTTAAGATGTATCCAGGCCCCCCCTGTCTTCTGCCTACAACCCCAGAATTACTAAATCAGCCCCTGATCCTACTGTTGGGTTTTCTTCTACTCTTTAAAAACATGGTTCTTCAAGGGTTCTTCAGTAAAGACAATCATTCTATACAGAGCCACAAACAAAGAGCCATTTGCATGACTAAATGGTTCTCTGCATGGTAAAATGGCTCTTCAGACTGATTATTGTTATTTTCTGTCTGAAGCTGCTTTTCCTCTAAATATTCAGGCGTTTCTGATTAATTCTGGAAATAAATGCTTGTTCACTTCTTGAAGCCGTGAGCAAAATGTAGAGCTTAGCACTTTGGTCCTCTCCAGAAAGTCAGTTTGATGTACTTTTAATATCTCTCATTTTTGCCTCTTCCAGAAGACAAATTGAACTGAATGGACCTCATTTATGAAATGTAAACACAATTAACTTGCGTTTTAAAATATAAACATAAACGCCAAATCATATAAACTCATCAGATATATAAGACCTATAAGAATTATTAGAAGCAGTCTTTATTCATTTAGCATAGAATCACTCAGGAGACACTGAGCTGTTTCATAATGACGCACTGTGTTAGTGTTACACACTGAAAAATATCCCTATTAATATATACATTTATCTCCTGTCTGGATCTTCTCCTTTATCTAGGGCTCATCATAGAAATCATAGTGTGAAGTGAATTAATGTGCTAATTGAATTGAAGTGTATTTTAATTTAATAAATCATCCTAATAATCATTTTTGTTTTTTATTATTTTATATATTTTTATTTTTTATTGTTTAATATTGTGACAGTGTGGCTTCCCAAGTTAATGTTTCTTTCAGTTTTGTATTCTATCTTTCCACCTACAGTGAAGTTACCAGGATGTGCAACATTGATTGTGCACTCCAGCAGATTGGATTACACAGGAGAAACAGAAGGAGAACGTGTGTAAACAAACTTTAATTTGGCTAAAAAAGTGAAAGCAGCTGTAAAGAGCTGTAAAACTTTATTGGGTTGTTAGGTGGTTGCTAGGGTGTTGGTATACAGTTGTTAGGTGGTTGCTAGGGTGTTGGTATACAGCTGTTAGGTGGTTGCTAGGGTGTTGGTATACAGCTGTTAGGTGGTTACTAGGGTGTTGGTATGCGGTTGTTAGGTGGTTGCTAGGGTGTTGGTATGTGGTTGATAGGTGGTTACGGTGTTGGTATGCGGTTTATAGGTGGTTGCTAGGGTGTTGGTGTATGGTTGTTAGGTGGTTGCTAGGGTGTTGGTATGCGGTTGTTAGGGGGTTGCTAGGGTGTTGGTATGTGGTTGTTAGGGGGTTGCTAGGGTGTTGGTATGCGGTTGTTAGGTGGTTGCTAGGGTGTTGGTATGCGGTTGTTAGGTGGTTGCTAGGGTGTTGGTATACAGTTGTTAGGTGGTTGCTAGGGTGTTGGTATGTGGCTGTCAGGTGGTTACTAGGGTGTTGTATGCGGTTGTTAGGTGGTTGCTAGGGTGTTGGTATGTGGTTGATAGGTGGTTACGGTGTTGGTATGCGGTTGTTAGGTGGTTGCTAGGGTGTTGGTGTATGGTTGTTAGGTGGTTGCTAGGGTGTTGGTATGCAGTTGCTAGGGTGTTGGTATGCGGTTGTTAGGGGGTTGCTAGGGTGTTGGTATGTGGTTGTTAGGGGGTTGCTAGGGTGTTGGTATGCGGTTGTTAGGTGGTTGCTAGGGTGTTGGTATGCGGTTGTTAGGTGGTTACTAGGGTGTTGGTATATGGTTGTTAGGTGGTTGCTAGGGTGTTGGTATGTGGTTGTTAGGTGGTTACTAGGGTGTTGGTATACAGTTGTTAGGTGGTTGCTAGGGTGTTGGTATGTGGTTGTTAGGGGGTTGCTAGGGTGTTGGTATGCAGTTGTTATGTGGTTAATAGGGTGTTTGTATACGGTTGTTAGGTGGTTGCTAGGGTGTCGGTATGTGGTTGTTAGGTGGTTACTAGGGTGTTGGTATACAGTTGTTAGGTGGTTGCTAGGGTGTTGGTATGCGGTTGTTATGGGGTTGCTAGGGTGTTGGTATGCAGTTGTTAGGTGGTTGCTAGGGTGTTGGCATGTGGTTTATAGGTGGTTGCTAGGGTGTTGGTATATGGTTGTTAAGTGGTTGCTAGGGTGTTGGTATGTGGTTGATAGGTGGTTACTAGAGTGTTGGTATGCAGTTGTTAGGTGGTTGCCAGGGTGTTGGTATGCGGTTGTTAGGTGGTTGCTAGGTTGTTGGTATGTGGTTGATAGGTGGTTACGGTGTTGGTATGCGGTTGTTAGGTGGTTGCTAGGGTGTTGGTATGCGGTTGCTAGGGTGTTGGTATGCAGTTGTTAGGGGGTTGCTACGATGTTGGTATGTGGTTGTTAGGGGGTTGCTACGGTGTTGGTATACGGTTGTTAGGTGGTTGCTAGGGTGTTGGTATGCGGTTGTTAGGTGGTTACTAGGGTGTTGGTATACAGTTGTTAGGTGGTTACTACGGTGTTGGTATGTGGTTGTTAGGGGGTTGCTAGGGTGTTGGTATGCAGTTGTTATGTGGTTAATAGGGTGTTTGTATACGGTTGTTAGGTGGTTGCTAGGGTGTTGGTATGTGGTTGTTAGGTGGTTACTACGGTGTTGGTATACAGTTGTTAGGTGGTTGCTAGAGTGTTGGTATGCGGTTGTTATGGGGTTGCTAGGGTGTTGGTATGCAGTTGTTAGGTGGTTGCTGGCGTGTTGGCATGCGGTTTATAGGTGGTTGCTAGGGTGTTGGTATACGGTTGTTAAGTGGTTGCTAGGGTGTTGGTATGTGGTTGATAGGTGGTTACTAGAGTGTTGGTATGCAGTTGTTAGGTGGTTGCCAGGGTGTTGGTATGCGGTTGTTAGGTGGTTGCTAGGGTGTTGGTATGTGGTTGATAGGTGGTTACGGTGTTGGTATGCGGTTGTTAGGTGGTTGCTAGGGTGTTGGTATGCGGTTGCTAGGGTGTTGGTATGCAGTTGTTAGGGGGTTGCTACGGTGTTGGTATGTGGTTGTTAGGGGGTTGCTAGGGTGTTGGTATGCGGTTGTTAGGTGGTTGCTAGGGTGTTGGTATGCGGTTGTTAGGTGGTTGCTAGGGTGTTGATATGTGGTTGTTAGGTGGTTACTAGAGTGTTGGTATACAGTTGTTAGGTGGTTGCTAGGGTCTTGGTATGTGGTTGTTAGGGGGTTACTAGGGTGTTGGTATGCAGTTGTTAGGTGGTTACTAGGGTGTTGATATGCAGTTGTTAGGTGGTTACTAGGGTGTTGGTATGCGGTTGTTAGGTGGTTACTAGGGTGTTGGTATGCGGTTGTTAGGTACTAGGGTGTTGGTATGCTTCTGAGTTTATATGGAATGTTGATGATGGAAAATAGTGGAAAATCTGAAATAATAAGTTTTCTTTGGGGACTATTTTGCCTCACAGCGTCCTGCATGTATCAAGTTCAAGTTTCAAGTTTATTTGTCATTTGCATAACATTTTAGGACATTCATGTATTGAAATGCTTGTGGTGAGGCTCAGCTAATCGCTCTACAGAAAGTAAACAAAGCAAAAATAAAAATACAAGAAAATACTGAAACTGAAATATATTAAATATACACAAAATATACACAAAATATAGACATAGGGGGTATGTAAGGAGAAAAATAAATAAATAAATAAATAAATAATACAAATCCCCTCTGCTATGTACAAATATATTTCTATTAAACAAGAGATAATCTGTGAAGAATATATACATTATGCATTTTTCTTATAATTTTATACAATTATACATGTATCCCTCCACCATGAATATTTATGAGTATAATGAGTTTATGAATGAGTTTAAGGCCAAAATCTTCTCAAAACTATCATAAATTAGGACATTAAAAGGGTAAAATGTCCATTTTGACTGCAGATTGTTTAAAAAGAGTATGAAACATTGTTTTTGTAATCAGGTCTTTATTGCAGATGTTTTCAGTTGCAAACGCCAGATGTGCAGGATCTAATGATGCACTGACACACAGCTGGCCAAGATCCACTGAGCAGCCAATTACTTTTGGTCCACTATAATGAGAGGGCGATGTATGAACAGGGTGTTTATGCCTGATCAGTTTATCTGATATGTGTGTGCAGAACCTCAAATCAAAGCAGACAGACTGCAGTTTTATTTCACATTTTATTTGCATATGACTTCATACGACTGTGTATGGGTAATTCTACAGAAGTGGTTCATAATACTGTCCCTCCATAATAAAGTCATGTCTAAAAGTGCATAAATAACCCTGAACAATTAAACACTTAACTAAACTCTGTGTAGTTGTGTGTAAGGTGCTGCTGTTGTCTGTTTGGGACCTCAAGAACCACATTTCACTCCAATGTGTACAAGTTGTATTAAGGAATAAAAGAAGGAATTTTTCTAGGCCCAGTCTGAGTCCGTCCTCTATAATGACCCGTCTCTTTGTTTAGGTATGTTGTGGTGAATATACGTTCTGCTGTGTGTTTAGATCTGGTTCCAGAACAGGAGAGCAAAGTGGAGGCGAACTGAAGCTCAGGGAAAAGACAGAGACCTTCTGCAGACAAACAAGAGCAGCTGTCCTCACCTCATGACCTCCCCGTTCTTCTTCTGCACTCCAGTAAGCTCCTCACTCCTCCTGCATCCTCCTCCAGTACACCTGAACCTCCTCCTATTATAACCAAATCTCCGTCAGTAAAACTGAAACCCCTCGCAGTACCACAGAAACTCCTCCCTGTACAACCAAAACCCCTTCCAGTACAATTGAAACTCATCCCAGTATAATTAAAACTCCTCCCAGTATAATCTAAGTCCTTCTAGTACAGCCAAAATCCCTCCCAGTGCAACTGAAACTCCTCCGACTACAGCCAATACTTCTCCAGTACAAATGAAGCCCCTCCCAGAACAAGCAAAACCCCTCCCAGTACAACTGAAACCCCTCCCAGTACAACCAGAACTCCTCCCAGTACAACTGAAACCCCCCGCAGTACAACCAAAACTCCTCCCAGCACAACAAAAACTCCTCCCAGTACAACTGAAACCCCTCCCAGTACAATCAAAACTCCTCCCAGTACAACCAGAACTCCTCCCAGTACAACCAAACTCGTCCCAGTGCAACTGAAACCCCTCCTAGTATTACCAAAACTCCTCCCAGTACAACCAAAACCCTCCCAGTACAACCAGAACTCCTCCCAGTACAACTGAAACCCCTCCCAGTACAACTAAAACCCTCCCAGTACAACAACAACTCCTCCCAGTACAACCAAAACTCCTCCCACTGTTCCACACAGCAATCAGATTTCAGTCTGACTTACTGAAGACTCATTTGACTACCAAGGCCAAAATCTTATCAGGATACAGTTCAGATACTGGACACAGGAAGTGAGCAGGTGTAAACGGGGTCTCTGTGAATTCTGCACAAGTGATAGAAAATCATCTGCTATTAGAATTTTAGAGGTAACTGTACACTGAGGTGCTCAGTCCTGCTCCTGGAGATCTACCGCCCTGGAGACTTCAGAGCCCACCGACCTGGTTCTAGTAGTCAGATGCTCCTGAAGGCCTTCATTACCTGGACCAGACGTGTTAGGGTTGGAGCAGAGTGGTCGATCTCCAGGACCGTGACTGACCACCCCTGCTGTACACCATATCTAATTAAAGTGTACTCCTACTGTCTAAAAATATGTCCTTTGAGGGTCAGTTATTAAAGAAAATGGTTCTATATAGTAACATGAACATTAAAGAACCCTTTGCATGATGAAATGGTTCTTCAGATTGATGGAGAACGTGTTAATGTTTCTATTCAATTCAGTTCCAAGATTCCTGAACAGGACATTCTACACATTAAAATAATGTAACAGTACAGCAAGCAAAACTACTGAGCATCAATACTCAGTGGCCAAAACTATGTTGACACCCCTTCTAATTATTGAGTTCAGGTGTTTCGGCCACACCCACTGCTAACAGATGTATAAAATCAAGCACATAGTCATGCAGTCTCTATAGGCAAACACTGGCAGTAGAGGGTCGTACTGATGAGCTCAGTGACTTTAACATGGCACCTCTGCTTCAAGTCAGTGAAATTTCTGCCTTGCTAGATCTGCCCGGCCCACTGTAAGTGCTATTATTGCGAAATGGAGCAACATCAGCTCAGCCACGAAGCGGTAGACCACCCAAACTCATAAGCGGGGCTGGCGAGTGCTGAAGCGCATCAGTCTTCTGTTTCATCACTCACTGCAGATTTCCAAACTGCCTCTGGAAGCAACATCAGCGAAAGAACTGAGTATCAGGATCTTTATTAAATGGGTCTCCATGTCTGAGCAGCTGCACACAAGCCTAAGATCACTATGCTCAATGCCAAGCGTCGGCTGGATGGGTGTAAAGCGCCGCCACTGGACTCTGGAGCAGTGGAACCGTGTTCTCTGGAGTGATGAATCAGCTTCTCTATCTGTCAGTCTGATGATGAATCTGGGTTTGGTGGATCCCAGGAGAACGTTACCTACCGGAATGCAGAGCCAACAGTACAGTTTGGTGGAGGAGGGATGATGGGCTGGAACGGAGATTGTGAGCCAGGCCCTCTCGTCCAACATCAGTGTCTGACCTCACAAATGCTCTTTTGACTGAATGGAAACAAATTCCCACAGACTCTCTCCAAAATCCTGTGGAAAGGCTGTTATTGTCGCAAAGCGGGGACAACTCCATATGAATGCCCATGGATTTGGAATGGGACGTCCAACGAGCTCATGTAGGTGTGATGGTTAGGTGGCCATATACTGTATCAGTGATCCTGAAGAGCTACAGGACAGCAAAGCAGATAAAGTCAAACACAGTGAGAAGACGAGAATTGTCTCAAAGTGTTTATCTACACTTTTAGAAACATAGTTCACACTAAAACATGCCATGTTTGAGCTTGTCTGCTCTGTATGGTGGAAGTAGTGTTATTTTTGTTGTGCTGAGGCCTTAAAAAGGGATTAAAAGCCATGAAACTTTATTTTATTTGCGCAGAAACCTTTGATTTGTGTGTGATGAGTTACTGTCCTCTTTGTTCTGATTGATTTGCAGGTCCAGAGCCTCATCATACAGCAGAAGCCTCACCTGCCTGCCTCACTCTGTCCTTCCGTTTATCCGTACGAGCTCAGCACTTGTAAACTCTGCCCCTTCAGCAGAGCCCAGCGGATCGGCAGGTCGCTGTACCCCCCCTTCCTCCCCATATTACATAACGTCCCACCCTGATTTTGTAACTTTGTGCCTTATTGTGTGCATTCCATGACTTTTCTTTAATAATACGTGACCGTGTGCTGCTCGAGCTGTAAACTGCTTATCTTATCAGAATAAGCCTTTCAAAACTGATGAACTGTTTGCGACATGGTTCACTCGGAAAAACGATGGGCTGAAAACTAAACTGGTTAGTTTATTACAGGGGGGTCCAATCTTATCCACAGAGGGCCGGTGTGGCTGCAGGTTCTCACTCCAAACAAGCTGGAGCTCACCTGACTCCACTTGTTTAATGAGTTGCTCTTAGTCTTCAAATGGTTCATCAGGTGACCTCCTGCTTTATTGGAGTGAAAACCTGCAGCCACACTGACACTCTGAGGACAAGACTGGACACCACTGGTTTATTATTATTGAAACACGGTGTTGAGATACAATGACATCTCTTTTTTACACTTTTTTACACTTTACCATGGCCGTTTGTTTGTTTTCTTTATTTTTGCTGATCTATGTATAATAACAATAATAAAATTATAATAATTCACAATAACTGCATTCTTTAATATTTACAATTAACTACTCCAGTCTCTTAAATTAAAATTGGAGAATACAAATAATCACAAATATAGACTGCATGAATCCTGATAGGCCAATATGATGAAATGTTGTCATTATCTTGATAATCGTCACACTCTTCTACATTATGGGTTTAGTCAGTGTTTCTAAAACACTGAATAACTGCATGCATCATAAAACATTTTGACCAATTATGGTGCGCCTGTAAACCAGGGCTCTCGAACTATCAGCCCGAATTGTACACTGTAAAAAATTCACTGTAATATTACAGTAAATTCCGAGTTGCATTACCAGCTAAACATTAACCTCACAGTAATTTGCTGTGTTATAACAGAAAATATCTTAAGACTTGAAGATAAAATGATAAATGCAGTGTTTTACTGTGAAAACGTTAAATATAGTGAAATCCTGGTAATACTTAACAGTGTAAATTTACAATTTGTCCTTAAATTTCTGCACTTAAATATTTCCATCTGAGACAGATCAGCTTCTCCACCAGACAAACACACAAGAGGAGCATTCAAACAGCATGAGCGCTGCACACGGAGCGTACATGACTGTAATTTAGCCACAGCTGAAGCCCTATTTGGATAGGATTAGTTTCCCATGAGGAGGCGGGAATGCCAGTTCACCGCAGGCCATCTGTAATGTTTACGATTCGCACGGGATACGAAATCTCAGTATACATGACAGAGAAGGAGCAGCTACTCAATTTACACACCACTTTCACTCCAGAAAAGAGCAGAAAAGATGTTAAAACACTTTTTCACGGTTTAACCTTCTGTCTTAAATGAATGCAGTGCATCATTTGCATCACCATTAGTTTGGAATTCACAGCAAACAGTCAACTTCACTGCATAACATCAAACTGTTTTCTGTAATGTTTACGTGGTCTGAGTTGTACACATGAGGCAGGACAGCAACTTACATATGGGCCTGATTTTAGCCTCAGAGAACACAAGTAAGTGCTTCTTCCAGCCTCCATACCTCCATACCATACCAGCCTCAAGACCATCTGTTTCACAGGATGTTATTGCATTTTTACCTACATAGTAATGTAATCTGAGATCATTTTTATGGCGCGTTTTATAGAAGGTGCTGGAATCTTTCCTGATGTGGGAGTGTGTAAAAATGACTGACATGGTGTATTCAGACGGAGCTAAAATCACTTTATGCCAGTAAAAACTGCATTACCCACCTACGTTTGTACACTAATCCCATCCTAATAGAGCTTAACTGCTATTATTCTGATTTAGATAGTTAAATCTGCCTTTGTGGATTCATTCAGGAAAAAGCAGAAGATGAGCAGAACGATTGAGAAATGAATGGAGTTCACTCACAAGAGCTTCACTCACATTCAGCAGGAACCATAATGCTTTTACAATAAGAGTCCCTCATAATTCTACTGCTAAATATGTTTACTTTATTTAGTTCACCTCTACAAATGTACTGCTACTACATACAGTTACAATCAAGTACTGAGATCAGATATACAGCATCTTATTTTTTAAATTGATTTTTACTCTTTATGTGTTTTTTTCTCCTCTTCCTTCTTAAATAGTTGCAAATGTTGAAGTAAAAAAGTCTGTGTACTCCTTACTAAACGTGGCACGGAGGTTTTACTGCTGCACTTACGAGCGGAAGAAAATGAAATACAACCTCAGAAAAATGAAATATTGCAATACATGCTGTGCATCGTTAAGACGTCTTCATGTGTTTTTAACATATCACCCACCCTTAATCCCAATGCAGCCTTTATTTTAATGAAAGCAGTCAGTGTCACTTCAAATTATAATGTTAAAACATTCAAAAGGGAAGTCCACCACTTTTCTAAATTTCCACAAAATTCAACCAGAGTCATTCAGAGAGGTTCAGAGTGGTTTTGTGTGAAACGCTCCGTTCTAGAGAAACTTACAGAGTCAGAACTGTTCACAGTGGTGGTGATAGGAACCAGACGTCCACCTCTAAAAGCTCCCTCACAGAAAGTTACTACAGTAAATGGTTATGAATTCACTGCCTGATGACTGAGACACTGTTTTATGATAGTTTAGAGAACTTAAACTCCATTCATGGTGGAGGGATACATGCAGGGCGCTGTGAGGCAAAACAGTCCCCAAAGAAAACTTATTATTTCAGATTTTCCACTATTTTCCATCATCATCATTCCATATAAACTCAGAAGACTCGTGTAGGTTCACTGGTGGCTCTGGATAGTAAATAAAATGTCTACATTGTGTTGTAGTCATGGCGACCCCTGGTTCCTATCACCACCACTGTAAAGACATCTGAACCCTTTCACACCAAACCAAAATTAGAAAAATGATTAGAATTCCTCTTTAAAATGAGTACAGATAGAGCGCATGGAGGTGCGTCCCTATATACGCTGTACAGGGCAGTAAAAGAACTGCAAATGACAGCAAACTAGATCAGCTTAACGTTTATTTATTGCCAGCGTTGTGTTCATTGATTTATCTCCAGCTTTGTGAGATATGAGTCGCTCCTCAGCGGACGCGCTGTTACACATGGAGTCTGTTGTTGAGATTTCTAATTATCGCTGAATTGGTTTATGACCCCTTTAACGATAAAGTATGAGCTTATCTTAATTTGTGAGGGTTCAGAGGCAGGTCAGGCCTGAGAGAGAAGGAGAAGTGCCTCTGTGATTGTAGCAGAACTTAAACTCACTTCTGATAACGAAGGTCAAAATGACAAAAATTTAAATAGTCATTAGATTTTCTCAGAATGGTTATGTCACAGCACAGCAGACCCACACAGTGGAGCTCTGAAGGCCTCAGTGGAAATCGTGATGGTGCTTTGGTCCACAAGCTGTGTCAGCACAAACACTCGGGCCTGTTGTTTGGTTCGACCAATCAGCATCAAGATTTCTACATTCAGTTAAGTACACTGCAAAAAATTATATCTTAACAAGTGAAAACACCTGAAATCCAGACGATATATTCATTATTTCTAATTTTAATATGGTTCTAAGCTTAATATAAGATTACTTAACTTATTACTGGGCATTTTGTACTTGTTTTAAGTAATTTTATTAAGTAAAATTATCTTACAGTTTTAAAAAAAGTGGTTCTTCAAGCATTCCATAGTAAAAACTGTAGGCTTTATTCTCCAGTATCCTCAGTATCCTAAGTCTGTTCTTAAGTGTGTTCTTAAAAAAAGATCCTAAGAAAAAGTCTGCATCAGGTTCATGTCATGTTCTTAAAGCGCAGAACTGTTCTCTCCTTTGTGCTCTTGAGTGTGTGTAGATTCTGTTCTTACCTAAGAACAAATCCCACATAACAGAACATTGGTGAATGAAGAGTCTTCGTTAAAACTGCGTAAGTGGGTTTAAGAAGGCATTTCTTCCTAAGAACGGTGAATGAGGCCCAATGATTTTGTATAGAACCATGAACACTCAAAGAACAATTTGCATGCTTTAAGGGTTCTCTGCATGGTGAAATAGTTCCTCAGATCAGTGGAAAATATGTTGTATACAGTTCTATACAGCTTCTATTGTTACAATGTGAAGTAACAATAGCAGAACCCTTTTTGGTGCTATATTGAACCATATACAACACATTCTCCATCAATCTGAAGAACCATTTCACCATGCAGAGAACCCTTTAAGCAGGCAAGCTGTTCTTTGCGTGTTCATGGTTCTATATAGAACCATTGTCTTTACTAAAAAGCCCTTCTTACATCTTTTTAAAGAGTGTACAATACTGGCAGATAATGTTGGGTGGGATTATCTGCCAGCACTGCAAACAATATCTTAGCAAGTGAAAACATTTTAAATGCAGTTAATATATCGAGTGAATCAGACACTGCAGTAACACTAACGTGGTGGTGGTGTGTTAGTGTGTGTTGTGCTGGTGCGAGTGGATCAGACTCTCAGTACTGCTGCAGTTTTTAAACACCTCAGTGTCACTGCTGGACTGAGAACCTGTGGGCAGCGTCCTGTGACCACTGATGAAGGACTAGAGAATGACCAACACGAACTGTGCAGCAGCAGATGAGCTATCGTCTCTGACTTTACATCTACAAGGTGACCACTGAAGAACAGGGTAACAAAGTATCAGAGCAACAGATGGACTATAGTCTGTAACTGTAGAACTACAGAGTGAAACTTTATGGTCAGTGGAGCTGATAAAGTGGACAGTAAGGGTGGATACAAGGAGGTGTATGTGTGTGTGTGTGTGTGTGTGTGTATATATATATATATATATATATATATATATATATACACTCACACAAGGTCAGACAGTTCACTTTAAACAAGTATTACATTAATTATTAATCAAGCTAAAGTTGTAATGAAGGTCACATCACATATTAAGATAAAAAAGCTTTCCTTTGGTTTTGGCCACTGTGGTTCCCTGGTTCTATAACCTAACAGTACTTCTCTTAAAGTGACTGGCATTGAAAGGGGAATTCCACCATCTTCTCAAAATTCATGCATAATTATTTTAATAATAATTTATAACAATTCTGTTATGAATAAGTTAAAAGAACACAACAAGAATGAAAAGCTGAAATCAGCCCTAATTAAACGCTGAAATGAAATGCAACATTTGACAAGTTTGTTTTCTAAAGTATGATCAGTGATGACTGTCTAAGAATGTCGAAGGTCGTGAATTAGGAGCATATAAACAAAATGCCGGTTCTCGGCTGCTTTTAATAGCCCAGCAGTTGATTAAGGAGAAGCAGTCTTAGTTATAATTGTGCAATTAAAAGCCAAATAACTCCAGTGATTCGATCACTGACTGATATTCTTATTAACCTTTAATCTCAAATCATAAATTGCTGTCAGGACTATGACCTGAAATGAAAATGTGAAATTTATGATGAATATCATAAACATTTTGGAAGTCTCTCATCTGACAGAGCAGATACACCTGGTCCTCTGGCGAGCAGGTCACTGCGTTCATCAGGCAATTAACGATGTTTTCTTGCCATATAAATCAGTGCGGCGGTGCTGGTGAGGCGCGGAGCTGTGTTTGTGTTTTTATAACTGTGGTCTTGCCTTGACACTGTTACTCTTCTAAGTGCTCACCTTTTCAACCTGTCCTTATCTTCATTTATAGCTACCTGACTCTCAGGTGAACTCTGCATTACCTTGTGCTTATCAGCTCAGCTCTGACTGCGGCACTGAAACGTTCAGGGTTTTCTTTGATTCGAAGCTTCATTAAATTCCATTGGCTGTAAAATCTGAGTGTTTCACAAGACCTGATTTTGTCAGCTGTACCTTCTGTTAGCAATAAAGCTGTGAGGATGATGTAGAACCCATGTGTCTGCCAGAAGCCCCGCGGCTCAATCCTCTCCAGCCCGTGGAATTATTTACATTTTTTATTAATATTAGCCTCACAATGCACTGCACTACAATTCCCAGCATGCACTGCAACATAAAGTGCACTCTGACCCCCCTCCCCCAACAACAGTCTATGAGACAGCAGTTACACCACTAAACTAAAACTAAATCCTTTTTCACACTAAAAACTCTAGATGGTTCTTCAAGGGTTCTTTAGTAAAGAAAATGGTTCTATATAGAACCATTTAGACCCATTGAACCCTCTGTGTGGTGAAATGGTTGTTTGCATGGTGAAAGTGTTCTTTAGATTGACGTAGAATGCGTTGCATACAGTTCTACACTCTTAAAAAAATAAGGTTCTTCAAGGGTTTTTTAGTAAAGAAAATGATTCTATATGGAACCATGAACAGTCAAAGAACTCTTTGCATGATTAAATGGTTCTCTGCATCATAAAAGTTCTTCAGATTGACAGAAAATGTGTTGTATATGGTTCTACACTCTTTAAAAAGAAGGTTCTTCAAGGGTTCTTTAGTAAAAAGTTGTTCTACATAGAACCATTAAAACCCAAAGAACCCTTGGCATGATAAATGGTTCTTTGTATCATAAAAGTTCTTCAGACTGACAGAAAATGTGTTGTATATGGTTCTGCACTCTTAAAAAAGATGGTTCATCAAGGGTTCTTGAGTAAAGACAATGGTTCTATATAGAACCATCAACACTCAAAGAATCCTTTGCATGATTAAATGGGTTCTTTGCAGATTGATGGAGAAGGTGCTGTAGATTGTTCTACATAGTACCTTTTTGAGAAGGGTTCTATATAGCACCAAAAAGGGTTCTGCTATTGTTACAATGTTAAGCTTGTCACTGTAGAAAAACACTTTTTGGTGATATATAGAACCCTTTTTAAAAATGTTCTATATAGAATCATTTACGGCACAGATGTCCTATGAAGTCTCATCAGACTGGATCATATTTACTGTCAGTGCCTAATTATTGATACACAGCTGAACTTTAAACAGTCTGGCTTTTCAGATCACTGTTTACTTTGTTCATCTTCTACTGATCTATCACTGATTCATTGGTAATGACTGCGTAGCATCTCTTAAGATGCCAGGGGAAGTCCACCCATCTTTCAAACCCTGGCCTGTTTCATCACCACAAATCTGGATTGTCCGCTTTTCATTAAAGCCTGAAAGCTTGCTTATAACTGCGAGTATCTGACCTGATACACACAAATATAGACATTTTATTTACTATCCAGAACCACCAGTGAACCTACACGAGTCTTCTGAGTTTATATGGAATGTTGATGATGGAAAATAGTGGAAAATCTGAAATAATAAGTTTTCTTTGGGGACTATTTTGCCTCACAGCGCCCTGCATGTATCCCTCCACCATGAATGGAGTTTAAGTTCTCTAAACTATCATAAAACAGTGTCTCAGTCATCAGGCAGTGAATTCATAACCATTTCATGTAGGAACTTTCTGTGAGGGAGCTTTTAGAGGGGGACGTCTGGTTCCTATCACCACCACTGTGAACAATTCTAAAGGGCCATGGGTTTGCATGTTTTCTCATTTTATTTGTTTTCTTGAGATGATGATATTTGCCATTATCACAGGAAAGCAAATAATGTTTTCTTGAGATCTCAAGTTAGTAAAATCAGTATAACAACATAATGGACATTGTTTTATCACGATAACATTTGCTGTGTTATGCTGATGTTGTTTTAATGGCATAAATATCTCACTATTTATAGAAAACAACATTCGTTGTGTCGTGATAATTATATAAATAATGCGAGATTTTGAGAAAACAGAGAAAAAGACATATAAATCTATGGGGTTTCCATATTTTATGCACCAAAAGAGTCATAATTGTTTTCCATCCTCGCTCAATCCCCAGAATTAAACAGGCTGTTTATGATTCTGTGCCTTTAAAATTGATATATGTAAACGAGCTCTGTTCTGATTGGCTGTCCTGTATTGTACATAGTTTAGAAAGCAGTCCGAGCTGAAGCATTCCTTATCCATCTTAATTTTTCCGTGTTCTTACTGTATTTCGAGATTATGGATGATATATCTGGTTGGTGAGCGGAAGAGTGGTTTATTACTGTTCTTGAGGTCACAATTAATATACTGAGGCCACAAATTACTATATTGATGCCACAAATTATTATATTGAGGTCACAAATTACTATATTTAGGCCACAATTTACTATATTTTGCCCACAAATTAACAAATTGAGTCCACAAATTACTATACCGAGGCCATAGATTACTAATTTAGGCCACAAATTACTACATCGATGCCACAATTTGCTATATTGAGGCCACAATTAAATATATTGGGGCCACAATCAATATACTAAGGACAAAAATGACTATTTTGAGGCCACAAAATAATATATTGAGGTCACAAATTACTAGATTGAGGCTATGAGTTATGAGACACTTATATATAACTTAGTAGCCACACCTTATTAAAAAACAATCACTATATCACCTTTAGGGCAGAGGTGAACAACACTGGTCCTGGAGCACCGTGTGGTGATTCACCTGCTCAGACACACCTGATTACAATCGATTGATTGGTTAATTGGCAGGTTTAGTGGGTGTGTTTGGGTCGGAAAACTACCAAACTGTGCTGGACACCGACCCTCCAGGCCCGGAGCTGTGCACCCCCGGTTTAGGGGCTCTGCAGGGGCTTCTAACTTATCAGATGTGAAAATAAATAAATGTGGTGACGCATCGTGGATCGTAAAAGACCTCCTGAAGTATCGTGATATTACATGTGCCGTATCGCCCACCTCCGTTTGCACCTTTAACCGACACATCTCACCGCACTCTGGTGTGCCATACAGGTGAGTGTGGTTTTCAGCGGTGCGGGCCCTTTAATCTGCTGTTACTGTCAGGGGAGCGCGCGGACTGACTGACTGCGCCGGGATGCGCTGACGTCACAGCCAGCCGGAGGGACGGACGGCACCCCTCAGCAGCCCGTTATTCGGCTGCCCGGTCCGGTGTGTTTCCTCAGAGAGAGAGTCTCCATGAATAAGCAGAAAAAGAAGAGGAGGAAGCGGGGCTAGGCCGCCGCCCTGACCGCACACAGCGCCGCGCGGGGCCGCTGAGAGGAGATGAGTTAACGCTGCTTGTTGTCATCGCTGCCGGGATGCGAGCTCGGTTTACCCAACTGCCACTGCGGGGAACCCGGGATAAAACGGCCCTCTGCTGAAGGAGGAGGAGGAGGAGGAGAGGGGGCGATGGCTGCTGGTGGAGGATGCGGGGAGACGGTGGAGCACTACCGCGCCGAGGTGGAGCGGCTGAGCCGGGAGCTGGCGGAGGCGAACCGGGAGAAGGTCCGGGCGGCGGAGTGCGGGCTGGTGGTGCTGGAGGAGAACCAGACCCTGAAGCAGCAGTACTCCGAGCTGGAGGCCGAGCAGGAGACCCTGAGGCAGGAGCTGGAGCAGCTGCAGGAGGTGAGACAGACAGATAGACAGACAGACAGACTGGATTCGCCAGATTCTTGTTCAAATTTCCCCGTTCCACCTTAAATGGTGCAGCGCCTCTTGTTCGAATTTTCCCGTTCCATCTTAAACGGCGGAGCTATTACACTCTGGCGCCTATTGATCGAAATTTCCCGTTCCACCTTAAATGGTGCAGCATTCCATTCTGGCGCCTCTTGTTCTCAGGCTCCAGGACGTGGCTGATGCCCCATTTAAGGTGGAACGGAAAATTCGAAGCAGAAGCCGTGAATAAGCGTTAGCATCAGCGCTGCTGTTATGCTAGCTAGTTACTCTGCTTCATCATAACGAGGCGTGGCGCTTCGGTGAGATAAGCAGCTTTTAAAAGCCCTAAAATTGTAATTTCTGAGGTAAACATTGTCAGTTTTGTGGTTAGAAGTGTAGATAAGTGTAGTTATTATCAGTGGAGATGTATTTTTGTCCTGGACGCTCAGTTTTAGCGAAATCATCTTAAAATCAGAAAACATATCTAATTCATTATTGTGAAACTGTTGTAAGAATGATTAAAAAGATTATTCCACCCGTTTCTAGACATTTTTACATGTTTTAAGTAATTGTATCTAATGAAGTGGTCTTGTTTGAAAAAATTATGTATTGACTAATTTATAAATTATTCAAGAAATAACGATAATGCTTTAAACAAGTACCGGCCAATGGAATAAGTCACTTTCACTAGATAAAAGAATGTTAAAGAAGTAGAAATAAGTGAAGTAATCTTACGATCTCCTTACAGCAGTCATAATGAAAGATATTAGATATATTGATTGTATTTAAGATGTTTTCATCGTCATCTTGCAGTATAAACAGTGTCTCAGCCTCTGTAAGTCCCTGTTTGTTTCTGCTGAACCTCATAAACTTTTATTTAAGACACTCATATTTGTTTTAATATGAGTTTGTCAACAGTGTAGAAATCTCAATTCATCATTTCCTCAGAAAATGAGTGAGTTTATGTCATCATAAGGAGTTCCACTGTTACAACCTGCTCTAATAACAATAAGTGGAGTATAAAAGTATTTTTGAGGTACGTTTGTAAGAAAGGTATTTTTATATGTGGCACTAAAGGTTCTGTTTTGTCTGTTCTGACTTTTTAAATCTCAGAAAAACCAAATATCGTGATGTGTATCATGAAACATCTTGAAGTACTGCGATATAACCTTCTCGTTCTGATGTCCAGTATGCTGAACATTGTTTCCCAGGTTTTTGATGGATGACTGATTAGTATAATAGATAGTTGATTAGTAAAATAGATTAATACAACAGATAATTGATTAGCATAATAGATAATTGAATAGTTTAATAGACTCATGCTTTACAAACGCAATCAAAAGTAGAACCTTATGTTTATTTAAGATGGAGTGACAGTAGATGATGTTCTATGGATAATAAATTTGGAGATAATATTAGTTTTTAGTGATTTTAGTGGATTTGACTGTCCTGAATACTGGACCTTGGAATTAGTCACGTTAGTTTGAAAGATGAAAATATTTATTATCATCAGGATAAACACCCAAACAAACAACTGAACACTGCTTGTGTTTCAGAAATGTTATTTCTATTAAAGCATATAAATCTATGTAATGTGTTATATGGCTTATGTAATGTTTTTTATCAATGACCTCGATTGTTTAAACCATTTTTTTAAATTTTAGATATACTGATGTAAATCAGTGTATATGCTTTGGGTTAAAAAGCTCTTTGTTTATTGTTATGACATAAAAATTATTATGAAAATTATTATCATGCAGCTGTACACACAGTAAACACAGAAGAAGTGGATGTTGGTCATAATAAATATGTTTATTTTTCAAAAAGCCCAAATGTCCAGCATACGGAACACTGAATATTATATGTTTCCCAGTAAACAAAAAATAATAATCCAACATATTATTTAGTACACAGCAGGGAACATGTTTCATAACAAAACATTGTTTTTAAAGTGTCCAGTTTCAGGACTGAATATATGTAATATCTCTCATTATGAGACTGTTGTAAGAATATTATAAGATTATTCCACCTCTTTCTATACATTTTTTCTTGTTGTATGTAATTGTATGTAGTGAAAGTGACAGATTATTTTACTTGTTTTGAGAAAAAATGAAGATAAATTTGCTTGTTTCAAGAAGTAATACTTAAAACTAGTAAAATGATCTGCAAATGGAATCAGACACTTTCATAAGATTAAATTACTTAAAACAAGTAAAAATGTATAGAAATTATCAAGTGAAAATAATCTTACAATATTCTCAGAATGAGAAATTTTTGATAGATGGATGGATGGATGGATGGATGGATAGATACTTTATTGATCCCAGAGGAAAATCAGCAGCCAGTATCAGTCACACAACACAGGACAGTTATAATATTACGGGTGATACAATATAAAAAGAAAAATAGATATAAAAAACTTATCTACAGGCATCTTTACAGTGGTGGTGATAGGAACCAGGGGTCACCATGACTATATCTACACTACTAATATGTGCAGATATATGACAATGATGATGATTATTATTACTATTATTATTATAGTATTTTTAAATGTGGCACAGAATGATCTGGTTAGAAAGTAAACACAGATTTAGGCTTCTTTGGTCTTTAAAATTTCCTTTGTTGTCACTTTACATGCATATTTGTAAATGTATCATCAGGGGGACACGTTATTGGGCCTCCTGCTTATTGTAAAAGTGACAGCTGCCTGTCGGTGGTGGACCGTCATGACAGTGACGTGTCACTTCCTCTGGTGGTTCATTGTGGAGAGCTGACCAGCTTCAACGTCCGCCATGAGTTCAGGGTCAGCTGTTTTCCTCGGTGTGGGCGTGAAGTGGACGTGAGCAGAGGGGCGTCCGGTAAAACAGCACACGTTCTGGTTTCACTCACCAATTTCTGGGCTTCTGTGTTTCTAATGTGCAGCACTGTGCAAACGTCAGAGAGAAACCAACATTTATTTAATGTCCAGTCAAAATGACCATTAAATACAAGTTTTTCAGCATCAGGAAAAAGTAGAAAACATATTTCACAGAAAATAACACTAAAGCCTCAACAGCTACATCTACTCTCAGCTGTGTGAGTCTCAGTGAGTCACTCTTCACCTTTATTCCAGCTTCCGTTCTTCTCAGGAGACTCAAAGAACCTGCAGACACGCCTCCAAAGTTCAGTCTTAGAAGCTGGTTGATCATTTTCTGAAGTAATCAAACACATTCAGTGGTGTTGAGGTCTGGACTCTGGGGTGGTCAGTCCATCGTTCAGCTTCTTTGTTTGATGTGTCCGTCTCCTTTTCTCAGTGAGGTTCTTCTTGATCAGCTACACATCCTTTCAGACCCACAGCGCTGAGTCGTCTTCTCACAGTGGAAGGATGGACAGAAACACCTGTGGATGTTTTCAGATCCGATCAGCTTGATTTTCTCCTCTCTCTCAGAGATGAAAGCTTTAAGTGCTGTTTATCTGATGGGGCAGTTTTGGGGTCGACCAGCTCTTCCAGGTGGTTGTTAGGAGCCTCATTTTCTCTGGAGCTTTTAATCAGTTTTGGAAACTCCTGTGTTGTTTTTTTTCTCCTTTTTTATGCAAGTGGATTATTGAGACGAAACACAGTCGTGGTGGGAATACCAAAACATGGAAACAGCTCAATCAAGACAGATAATAAGTTTTTAGGTCTGTTACCGAGCAACCGACGATACGTGACAGCTGAGACGTGCTGCTGTTTCACTGCTACCCAGTTTCCGTTTCATTTTCCCTTGCTAAGGGGAATTTTCATGGCCATTAGCAAGTTATTGGGAGGTACTGAGAGAGAGCAGAGAAGACCCCTCTGCAGTGCCCACCGAGTTAGTTGAGTCAAGTCAAAGTTTATTAATGTAGCGCTTTTTACAGCAGCTGTTATCACAAAGCAGCTTTACAGAAAAAAATCAGAAGAAATGCGGGTCCGAGCCTCATGGTGTTATGGCGAAATAACGTGTTGTATAAATCGTCATATTGCCCAGCACAAACTTTTGATGGCTTTTCTGCCCATTTTTTCACAGTGTAATCAAAAACACGTCCTGTCCGGGGAGTATAGCACTGTTGTGGAAAAGTCTCATTTAAATATGTCGTATTTTCCCATTGTTTATTCGCGCCGTGCTCTGTGTGTAACTAAGAGTCTTAAGGCTCTTCATTTTTATCCTGTTATGCTGCTCATGTTGCTCCATTGCGGCCGTTTACTAAGTTGACTATTCGCTCTCAGGTCCTGCTGCCTGCAGCGTTGGCACTACTCTGATATCTCTATTCTGAAGGTTAGCAGGCGGAGGAGGGCGCGAGCGTCTGAGACGAGACGGTCTCGGGGTGATGAGATGACATCAGTGCAGCTTTGGGCGGCTGTGTATGGACTAACAGGACGCTGACTCACAGTTCGGACACAGACTACAGCCTCACTGTGATCAGCCTGAGCTGTACAGCAGCGACACTCTGTACTTTAATGACATCATTTGCAGTCAGCTTTGTTTTCTGCTTCTAAATATGGATCCTAGAATACAGTCTTCACCCTAAAATGATTATTTGGAGTGCGTGATGAGTGTAATCTGCTGTTCCAGTCTGCTGTTGGTTGTGACTCTGAAAGGAGGCCTTTTATTTCACATGCCTGAGTTGGCGGCTGTTAGAAACGGGTTACGCAAATCTGGCAAGGGGGGACGTTCCCTCGTGGGGTTTTGTGATCTCTCTGTTTGTCTGTGTTCTGGCTGAGATTCTCCTACAGAACTAAAAGAACCCCAGAGTGCGTACGCGTCAGCATTTTGAGTCAGGGTTTGTTTCTGTGTGAATAATTCAGACTCAGTTTGCTGAAGTGTGGTTCAGAGCATTGGGACTGATATCTCTACAGTGTTGAGCCCTATGAGGAGAATGCATGCGTTAGAGCCTGAAATCTGTAAAAAGGCAAATCTGCTCAACTTTAAAACAATAATCATATTAACTGAAAATGTAAACTGGCTGCT